CCGCCGCACACTGGAGCATCCGAGCGCCACCGCACGCTCCTCTCCTGATGCACCAGAGCATCCGAGCACCACCGCACGCTCCTCTCCCGCCCCACTGGAGCATCCCGAGCGCTGCTGCTCTTGTCTCCAGGTCCAAATTTGGCAATTGGGTCACTGCTCCACGTACACCTGGTTCTGATGACTAAGGTGACTCTATTTTTTCTCAATAATAAAATGAGCTATTTTGAGTGATGCTACTTTTAATGGCTAAATCAATATGTGTATTTAGTGTTAGGCTTTATTTTAGCACTAAGTGACACAAGATAAGCAGTCTTAGAGAGTGTTAATTGGTTTGTGTTTAGCATTTACACTAATCGGCACGCGCGGTGCTGCCCAGGGCTCCTCTGTCCCGGTGACGCTGTTTGTGCAGCCCGGGAGCTGTTTGCTCTATTGACTGCACAGGAACCCGCCTGTTTTCCCACCTCCTTGAACCCCGCACGCATCCTGGCGCGAACGGCAGCACCGCGAACGGGACCGGGGCTGGAGCACACCGGAGAGCGCCGCGTTTGCCGGGACGATGAGGTCRATGCAAACGGCAGCAGCTTCCTCCCACATCAGCTTCCTCCCACTGCCGGCGCCTGCCCCACGTGGGCTGGGAATGGCGCGGGATGGGCCTGGGCTCCCGGCGCGGCTCCRCTCGAATGGGCTTCCCGCCCAGCAGTGTCACCCCTTCCTGCACTGGCTCCGCTTCCCGACGGAAAGCGGGGCCGTCATTCAGTGCCGCTTGCAGCAACTGCCTGATCCGCGGCAGGACGGGAATCATAAATCTTGATTACTCTCTGTCTCAGCTGATTTGAACCGAATGCCTCGGACAGRGATATAGTTCTCATCCCGCTGAAAACTGCAAAAAACCTGATTAAATGTACAAACCGATATAAATAGCACTCTGTCTGCGTTAATGCCCCGGGTGTCACTGTGTGAGGAGCAGAATGCCGCATCCCAGCCGGGGCAGTTCTGGGGGCTCCGTAAGTGCCGCTCCGGGCTCTGTTTCCTCGATGCCGGCTGCTTTTGCCATGCYGGCAATTGCAGACAGCGTCACCAGCTCTGATTGCACCTCGTTTACAATTAAGCATTCTATAGAAAAATGGAAATGCTGGGCCATTAACATAAAGTAATAATAAGGTAAACCATTCAATTACGGAGAAAAAAAAACATTTTGAATAACAATGATATTGTATGCCTAAAAGAATTTCAGATGCCAGGGTATTATCATTTTTGCATGCATAATAAATGAGTTTGATCCCCAAAATAATCAGCACAGGCGCACAGTAAATAGCTGTTCTCCTGGCTCGGCATCTGGGCCGGGCGGCAGGGATGGATGTGGCACGTTCGGCCGCTGCCTCCCCAGCTGGAGGCGGCAGAAGAGGCGCCCATCCCGTCCTGTCCCTGCCCCGGCCCGAGGACGGGGCCGGCAGCGCGTTGGGGCCGGCAGCGCGGGGCAGCGAGGCCGAGCTTGACGCGGGACCGCTGTCCCCTCGGAGTGGCTCCAGGCCTGGGACGCCTGCGCACGTCACGGGATTAACGGCGGCTCCGTAGCTGCTGCCGCTAAAGGACTTTAATGGATCCGCTTAGCAGCCTGGCCGTGATGATAGCGTCGCTCCTGCCCGCCGGGCCGCGGCCAGTGGCCCTGGGAATGGGTGCATTTATATTTCTGCCTGCGGCTCAGCTGGCTGCCCCCGGCTCCGGCGCATCGGTGGGAGGAGCGGCGCCTCCCAGGGAGCTTCACCCTAAACTGGAGTAGCGCCCTATCCAGCCAACACACACAGGATCCCCAGTGCCGGGTGGAGATTCCCGTCAGGAGTGGGCCGTGCTCCGCGGCATCCTGCCCTGCTGCCAGGAAGGGCTGGAGCGCCGCTGGCAGCCTCCTGCCCCAGCCACGAGCCCCTCGGTGGGAGCCCCATGGTGAGGGCTGAGCCCCACAGTGGGAGCCCCATAGCGAGGGCTGAGCCCCATGGTGGGAGCCCCATGGCACAAGCCCCCGAGCACGGGCTGTTCTCCTTGGGAACTTGGCTATTGCCACGATTCCCGCTCGGCATTCCGGTTGCCATAGCAGCTCCGCGCTGCGCTCTGATCATATCGGCTTGCCGTTAGTCAACACGGTGTTAGCACCTTCGTTGTTATGGCAACAGGAGACCGTTCTCCATCCTCGTCTGACATGGCTGAGGGAAGRGAGGGCTCTGGCCTGGGCGGAGGGAGCGCAGGGAGCGCGTTGCAGGAGAGGGGAGCGTGCAAGTGAACTCGCTGCAGGAGAGGGGAACACGCAGGGAGCACGCTGCAAGAGAGGGGAGCGTGCAGGGGAGCGTGCTGCAGGGCACAATGTGCAAGCGAGCGTGCTGCAGGGCACAGCGTGCAGGGCAGTGTGCTGCAAGGGAGGGCAGTGTGCAAGTGAGCTGTCTGCAAGAGAGCGGAGCACGCAAGAGAGCGTGCTGCAGAGCAGAGCATGCAAGGGAGTGCCCTGTGGGAGAGGAGCATGCAGCATGAATGGGCAGTGTGCAGTGGAGCACACAGCAGGAGAGAGGAGCGCATGGGGGGTGCACTGCAGGAGAGGGGAGAATGCAGTGGAACGCACAGCAGGAGAGTGAGCGTGCAGCAGGAGAGCGGAGTACGCAGCAAAGCACGCAGCAGGAGAAGGGAGCGTGCACGAAGAGAGGAGCCTGCAGCAAGGGGAGAGCGGGTAGCAGAAGAGGGGAGTGCACAGCAGGGAAGGGGAGCATGCAGGGAAGTGCACAACAGGAGAGGGGAGTGTGCCAGGAATCAYATGGCAGGCAAGGGGACTGTGCTGGGGAGTGCACTGCAGGACAAGGGAACGCTCAAGGGAGCAGCAGGGAAGGGCAGCATGCAGGGGAGGGAAGGGTGCAACAGGCAAGGGCAGCGTGCAGCAGGAGAGCGGAGCATGCAGCAGCCCACGCAGCAGGAAAGGGGAGTGTGCGGGAGGAGAGGAGCCTGCAGCAAGAGGAGAGCGCAGAGCAGGAGCGGGGAGCAGCAGGGAAGGGTGYGACAGGAGACAGGAGCATGCAGCGGGAAAGAGGAGTGTGCAGCAGGAGAGGGGAAGGCGCAGCAGGAGTGCAGGGAACACCACAGGATAGGGGAGCGCGCAAGCCGAGCTGTGGGCCATGGTCTCTTTCCATTTCTTTCAAACGGAAACCCAGGAGTAACCAAGGCCTTTTCTGAAGTTATTTGCAATTTGTTTAATGATTTTTGAAGCATACACACACATCATTTGAATGAGAACAGTGTCAATGTATTAGGCAGTGGCAGATGCACCTCGTGTCCCTTATTAGAAGGGATTGGATGCTGAGGTTTAGTGATGTGCAAAGGATTGGACTTTGGAGAGATTAAAATTATTTTCAGCGTTAAGCACAATATTTCTAAGCTAATGCACTCAGTCTTGAATRTAGATTCACAGACCAAAAAGATTATAAAACATTAAACCTATGTAAATTCAGCTGTAAATTTATGTTTGAACAAATTCAACAAGAGATTTGACTTGGGGGCTTACAGCAAATAGCTTCTGCTTTTAATGCACATTGCAGCCTCCAGCTGCAGCGCAGTTCTCCCCGTGGACGCYGCCCGCTGCCGGATTAGGCGGTCACAGCTGACAGCTCCAGCAATTACAGCGGGATGCACTAATAACGGGGCAGCTCCTCGCTCCTGGGGACCGGAGCAGCTCCCTGCGCTGGCCCGGCCGCGGCCGCTCCAGCCCCTCCGCCGCTCTGGCTCCCGGCGGCTGCTGGTGGGAATGTGAGGATGCGGCTCCCGGTGGTGCTGTGAGCGGGACTGCAGGAGAGCTGCTGCATGGCCAGCAAGCTGCCTACACAGAGATAAGTGACAGCTGTGACTGAAGGAATAAACAAGATAATCTGGATTTAAATAAACCGCAAGGCGCTGTTGGCAACGTGCAAATTCACAAATTTATAAAATGTAGGCTTTGAAAATAAAGAGCTTGTCTGAAGACAGCAGTGAAGAGCAATTAGTGCAGCAGGTTTGTCCGGCCCGGGCTCGGAGCTGCCCTCGTCTGGAGCCGTGGGACAGACAGAGGGACGGGCGGCATCGCGGGGCATGCGGAGCCGGGAGCCTTCCCTGCGCAGTGCAGAGCGGAGCAGAGCGCCCGGTGGCTCCTGCGCCCCAGGGCTCRGGAGGATCCCGCTCCCCAGGGAATGTCGCCGCTGCCGGTGCTGCAGCAGCAGCCACGTTCCCCAACGTTCCTGCTCAACGTTCACCTTCCGTGGAGCTCGGCCACGTGCGCAGCCCAAGCCTGGCTCTGTAGCGCACAGCAGGGAAGGGGAGGACCCCRTCCCGCGAGGACACGAGCCCTGGGGCAGCTCCCTGCAGTGGGAGGGCGCGAGGGCGGCATCCCGGGGTGCCAGAGCTGCCGGCACCGCGCGCCCCGGTGACGCCGGCGCTGGCAGGGACGTCACCGTGCACCYGCTAGGCTGCTGCCATTGCCTTCACCTGAGGGCAGCTGGGAAAAGCACTTACCTCTCCATTTGCGTAGATATAAACGCTATCTTGGCTGCAGTTTCATTTTACAATATGGTAATATGCTATCTAGGAAAGTCTTGCTACACGCTAATTTATCCAGGAGGCAAATTCCTTTTGGCTAATAAAAGTGCTTGCACAGGAAGCTCGAAACCCAGCAGCAATTAATTATTGACAGAGCATGTGAATTAGAGATAAAAGAAAAGTCATTCTTTCTCGCACACAAGATAGTAAATAAATTTAATTATTGTACTAGAAGCAAGGGATCTTATTCTGTATTAAGTTTTATTAGTCGAGACATTTAAAAGCATGTCATCATAACAAAAAGGTCTTGTGTAATCCTAACTGCAGCACTCTGCTACAAGGCTCTGGAGTGAATAGACTTAATTGAGCAGCGGAAGGCGCCACGGTCGCACGGAGCCAGCGGCGCCGTGAGCTCCCGCTGCCGGCCCCGGCCCCGCTAACCTCTGCTCTCCCCGCAGGAGCGTCATGCCCAAGACCCTGGAGGGGCAGATCACCATGGAGAAGACGCCCAGCTACTTTGTGACCAACGAGGCCCCCAAGCGCATCCATTCCATGGCCAAGGACACCAAGCTCATCGTGGTGGTGCGCAACCCAGTGACCAGGGCCATCTCCGACTACACGCAGACGCTCTCCAAGAAGCCGGAGATCCCCACCTTCGAGGTGCTCGCCTTCAAGAACCGGACCCTGGGGCTCATCGACGCCTCCTGGAGCGCCATCCGCATTGGGATCTATGCCCTGCACCTGGAGAACTGGCTCCAGTACTTCCCCCTCTCCCAGATCCTGTTTGTCAGTGGTGAGAGGCTCATCACGGACCCGGCCGGGGAGATGGCCAAGGTGCAGGACTTCCTGGGCCTCAAGAGGATTGTGACAGAGAAGCACTTTTATTTTAATAAGACCAAGGGGTTCCCCTGCCTAAAGAAGCCGGAGGACAGCAGTGCGCCCCGGTGCTTGGGCAAGTCCAAGGGCCGAACTCACCCCAAAATAGACCCCGATGTCATCCACAGACTGCGGAAGTTTTACAAACCCTTCAACGTCATGTTCTACCAAATGACCGGCCAGGATTTCCAGTGGGAGCAGGAGGAAGGCGACCAGTAGAGCTGTGGCAGCAGGGAAGGCTCTTCCTGCTGCTCCAGGAGCCGCTGCCAGGGGCGCGGAGGAGCCGGGGCTGCCAGCTCCGCGTGCGAGACCGGGATGCGGGCGGCCGTGGAGCCGGGTGGCGTGTCMAGCTCCGGGCCTGGCGCCGGGCCAGGCTCTGCGGCAGTCACGGATCAGGGAAGAGGAATGGGAATGGGCGGGAGGAGGCGCCCAAGGGAGGTGCCACGGGAGCGGGAGGCTCCGAAGGGACCTTCCCGGGTGGCCGGTGCGACTGGCCTGTGCAGCTGCCCCAGCTGCGCAACAGGGCCCGGGACCCCAGCGCAGCCACAGGAGCTCGCGGATGAGATCCTTCCAGTCCTGCTGCGCAGCAGCCTCGGGCGCATCCCGTGCGCACAGCGCGTCCGTGCGCGCAAGGAATAAAGCCAGTTACGCTGCAAAGCACCATGTACAGACACTTCATTTGCACCAGACGCTCCATTTGTTGCACTAAAACTAGCGTTAACCAAGTGCCACAGCAAAGCTGGGCCCTGGCGGTGCTCGCACTGAGTGCCACTGGCCGGGGGAGAGCAGGTCCCCAGGTACTGGGATGTGCAGTGAGATGAGAACCGGAGCCTCCCTGCTCCTCTGGAAATCCCTGTCCCCAAACATCCTCGGGTGCCCCCCATGCAGGCTCTGGCCCGGGACAGGGATGTCCCTGGGTCTGTGCTGGTGCCAACATGCCGGGACGCTGGCGCTCGTGGCGGGTGTTGGAAGCAGCCTTGGTCCTGGCTGCAGCACCAGGATGGGCTGGTTACTCCGCATGGGTCCTGCTCCGCGCAAGCCATGATGTGACCAAGCAGCCACGTTCGTGGCTCCTGGTGGGAGCYGCACAGGGAGTGCCAAGCCCGGCAGCGACAGCGCCGGGAGCTGCCGCCACTCGGTGCAGAGCAGGCAGCGCTTGTCCGCATCCGTTACAGAAAGCCCCGAGCGTGGAGCCAGGGCTCCTGTGGGACAGCACGGGATTCCCGTAGGGAGCTGCTAGTCCGTTCCATTATGGTGGCAAGAAATCTCCACTGCTGCAGCACTGCATGGAACATGGATGCTGCGACCAAGCAGTGGGTCCCCAGGTCCCATGGAGCAGTGTTGCTCGTGCTGGGAAGCAGCTCTGCCAGTGCCACGAGCCCAGGAGCTACATAAGCACTGCGATCCGAGTAGCTCCCTGGGTGGCTGCAGCCGCCTTTCCTCTCCCGAGCGAAGCCGGGGCGATGGACCCGGTGGGCCAGGGCGCCGTGGATCTGTCCTCCCGCATCCCACTTCAGTGCCGCACCAGAGCCCATGGGATGACGCCACTCCAGGGCCTGTGCTCCTGCACCTCTGGGATGTCCGGGGTGACCAAGGCGGTGCCGGCACCTCCCGCACGGGCAGAGGCTCTGCTGGGTGGGAGCCGGCCCCTTCCCGCGGGACGTGGCGGGGAGGAGAACGCGGGGACAAACACAGGCACTCGGGATAGCGGCGCTTTTTTTAACTGAATCAAATGTCAGCGTTACAATGCACAGGAAATTGAATTTTGTATTTGATTTCAATTAGCAAAGCATAAATTATATTTAATTTTACACGCAGCCTGGGTGATTCATTGCTCCGGGGAGCTGGTGCGCGTGGCGTGGAGCCGGCTGGAGCAGCGCGATCCCTGACGGCCCCATCCGCGCTGCCCTGTCACTGCCCAGGGCCGTGGGCACAGCCGCCACCGGCTCCTCCCGACATTCCCATGTGGCGGCTCCTCCAGCCGGAGCAGCCCTTTGGGAATGGCCCCTTGGAATGGCCCCTTACAGCGTCACTCCAGCAGAGCGGCCAGAGGGACCTGCAATGCAGCCAGTCTGCAGCCTCCACACATGGGACGGGATGGGGACAGGGATTGGGATGGGGGTCACAATGGGAACATGGGAAGGGGCAGGAGTGGGGATAGAGGTGAGGGTGGGGATAGAATGGAAATGAGGATGGGAATGGGGACAGGCTGGAAACAGGGATGGGAATGGGGATGTCCCCAGATGGTGCTGGGGACAAGGATGGGGATGGGGATATTCCCCGTCATGGCTCAATCCAGAGTCCCAAGGCCGCAGGAGGCAAAGCTCGACCTGTGCCAGGGAATTGCCGCCGGCTCTGATGGATAAATCACTGCACCAGGGCAGGAGAGGGCTGGCTGCCAGGCAGAGAAATTGGGGGGAAAACGTTTTCATTTTAGTTCATCTGCAGAATACTCTGCCTGTTTGAGAAAAGCTATTTCATAGCTCAGCTTTACTGTGTCATCTGATAAAATCACTGAAAAACTTTTATCAACAAAATTAGGAAGTAGTGAACTATAAAATTGCTAATTATTTTCTAGTAAATTTACTTTTAAATAACTTTAGACACCAATTACAGGCACCATTAAGCACCGTTAACACTGGGTATATTTACCAAACAAGGATGGAAYACTTATAGTGCAAATCAAGATGGTTTTGGTGTAGATTTTGCTGGTCAGAAAGCAGCCCTCTCTCACCAGATGTTTAAAAAGTCATCAGAAGATCAGTTACGTCTGAGATTCAGTCAGATTTCTAATGCTTGAATTATGCTAGAAGGCGAGCCAGCCCTTGAAACAATTCTCTGCCTATTTCGGCCCAGAGGAGCTGGCCTTGAGGCTCCCGGCATTCCCAGCCTTGAGGCTCCTGGTTTTCCTGCAYGGACTGGGCAGGGACGAGCCGAGCAGGCAGGTCCGGAGCAGTTTGTGCTGTGGGACCAACCTCGTGGCACAGGGGGACCTGGCCTGGAGCTGCCCATGTCCCGGTGCATCCTTATTCTGGTGGATCCTTGTCCCGATGCTGCCCTGGTCCCGGTGCTGCCCTGGTCCCGGTGCTGCCCTGGTGCAGCCCTGGTCCGGGGGTGTCCCTGGCTCCCATGCAGCCCTGGTCCCGGTGCAACCCTGGTCCCAGTGCAGCCCTGGTCCTATGCAGCCCTGGTCCTGGTGCAGYCCTGGTCCCATGCAGCCCTGGTCCCATGCAGCCCTGGTCTCRGTGCAGCCCTGGTCCCATGCAGCTTCTTCCCTGGTGCAAGGTGCTGCCAGCAGACTTGCAGCCCCCATTTCATCTTCTCCCCACAGCTGCAGGGCATCTCCAGACCCACCAGTCTCCCATCCCTGTGCAGCACTGGGTCCGTCGCGGGACCAGCACCCTGCTCCTATGGACTTCTAAAAGCTCTGGCTTCTAATTGCACATTGCCAGGAGGCTGTCGGGAAGCTGGCTGCAAAGTCGTTCCCTGCTCCCACTTTCCTGCTGTTATCTTTGACATCCTCATTATTTATTAACTACTCTGAGTCCAACAGGCTGCCACTGATGCTGAGCTGCCATTATTATGCAGGGTCGATATCCCGCCTGCCTTCCAAGGTCACATCCTCCAGGATGTCTTGCAAGGCAGATTGACGAGGTACCACAAAGAAGCAACATGTTCTGTGCAGGCTGATGCCAGGTTCCAAGCAGAGCCCTTTGGCTAGGGATAACACAGGGATTAGGAGCACTGCAGTTGCTGCTCCTCCCCATCCCGTGGGCAGCACGGATGCTCCGGCACCCACCRTCAGCCAGGGAAACCAGAGCAGCAGGCAGGAGCTCCAGTCACCTGCTTCCGGGGAGCAAAGAGAGTTTGTCCCTAATCCCGAAGCCTCAGGAGAGGCACCACAGGAATTACTGGGATGCTCAGGCTGCAAAAACACCCCAGCCTGTTGTCACATTGTCAGCACGAATAAACTCCCTTTTCCAGCGGGAATGCATCACACTGCTCCGTGCTACAGGTGCAGCATCCAGAGCATCCAAGCAAACCAGTGCTCTCACTCTTCCCTGGCTTTCGGGACGCTCTCTGCTTCTCTCCCCACCCCCTCCCTTTTTCCCGCTTTCAGAAATGATCCCCATGAGTCATTCACTAGAAAAATACCCGATTGGAAAGGTCTTGCTGCCTTTTAAGAAACTCTTCTGGCTCCAGGTAAGAGACCTGAATTCAGAATAAATAACTGGAGGAGCACTTCACACTTCATTACTGCTTTCCAGCACCAGTGGGGATATTCTGGGAGTTTCCAGGAGCAGCACGAGGCCAGGCAGCCCCGCACACGAGCACTTGTCCGTGCAGCTCCCATGAGGATGCTCATCCCGCAGGTTCTGCAGAGCCATCCCCTGCATGCAGGAATTGCTGCTATAACCGGGCACTGCACCAGGATGGGGAGGAGGGAGACATGGGGCAGGATGCGGACATAGGCAGTGGGGCTGCGGGATGACCCTGGGATCATCCCATGGGATGAGGGTTCCGTCCAGGGCAGGAGGCACTTGACAAATGTCTCCTGGCCCCGGGGTAAGTGGCGGGTTTGGTCCCAAGCAGAGGCAAATTTCTGGGGCTGCCTCGTGCAAGAGGTGGCCGTGGCTGAAGGGCAGGACCAACATCAGCAGCGCCTCCTCCACTGCTGCCCTCCTGCTCGAAGCAGCGAGTTTGGGCAGTTCTCAGCACCACGGCCGCCAGGACACCTGCCCGAGCCCTGGGGATCCCACTGCTCTGGAGCTGCTCCCTGCTCCGGGCGGCTGGTGCACAAGCAGAGCCCTTAACGAGTTTGTGCAGCTCTCTGTTAAGCAGCAGGGAAATGTTTTGCCCAGGAAGCTAATCCCAGCACATCCTCCTTGTGCAGGCTCTATGTTACGGAACAGTGAGTCTGCTGAATTAATTAGCACATGGAGCTTCGTTTACTCAGCTCATCTGCATATTGTGCTCCTAGGATGCGGGAAATCTCCTCCAGGTGCTGCTCAGATGCTCACGGCAGTTGCAGCTCCGGTCCCGCTGCAGGTGGATGCAYCACGACGCTGCAGTGCACACATTTCTGGGTGCACACACCCAGAATTCCTGTCTCTGCTCTCCATCCTGCCCTACAAGTGCCCATGACCATGACCAAGCCCATGTCCTTACCTGTCACCCAAGCYGGCCACACAGAGCTGCGCTGCCTCCACGCTGGGTTTGCATGGAGAAGGACACCGGAGCACTCCTGGGATTCTGCCATTTCCTCATCTTGGCACAAAACTCCCTCTGAGATGATTGTTTGAAAGATGAGTCACCAAACACAATAGCAAAG